GCTGCTGACTCCTGGGCAGCCCAGCCAGGGCATCCTGCCTCCTGTAGGGGTCCCCCGGGGGTCCCTGCCTCGTTTGTCAGCAGGGTCAGTGTGCTCTTGTATGAATAAAGACCAGAGACTTGCAAGGGCACCAGACTGCTTGTCCCTGTGCCCCGCGCACCCCACTACCTCGCACTTTGGTGTATGGGAGCAGGTGGGGGTTAGTGTGAACTTGGGAGGACATTGGACATGACTACCCTGGCAGTGTGTCTGGGACTTCTCTGTGTGGGTTCATTGCACGTCTGAGGGCACATCAGTGCATCCAGGTCTCCATCCCACCCCTGCCTGGAGAAGGCAAGGCCAGGGCAGAAGCCCCACGTGGCCCCTGCAGACCTGGGTGGGGACAGCATTGTCTGGGCCTCAAGGGTGACCTGGTGGCCCTGTTCACAAGCCCTCCCCACCCATGCCAAGGCCACATTGGAGAGGAACATAGCCCGCCCTGTGAGCAGAGGGCTCACACCAGCTGACTGGCCGAAGTCTCCCAGCCCCTGTTGACCCAACAGGGCACCTACAGTCCCACCCAGCTGCACCCTGTGGAGTCCCCTGCTGTTTGGGGCCAGGAGGCTAGCGGATGCAATTTGGGAGCAGGATCCCAACTCCAGCAACACACTGGCCACTTTATTTAAGACACATCACCCACAGGGGGCAGATGGTACAGCATCTCTATTCCGGGTAACCACGGCCCCGCTTGAGTGTCAGAAACCAAACACCGCCCATGCCAAGGGCAGTGGACAGTGTGCCCGGGGTGTAGTGCCACGGTGCTGTTCCGCCCGCCTGACCCTCCAGGGCCCAGCTCCTTGAGAGGGGAGGTGGGGTGCAGGCGCCCTCCTCAGGCAACTCCTGCCATGCCCTCTGCCAGGATGAGGAAGGGTCTGATCCGTCCACGGAGCCTGCAGGGCTGGAAGCTGCAGGAGGGGAGGCGGGCATGTCCTGGGGCCCGGTGTGCCCCTGGCTGCAGGTGGGTATCCTGTGCTCCGGTCTGGCCCTGGCCCGCCTCACTGGTCACTGCAGTTGGGAGTATCGAACCCTCTGGTACATGTTGGAGATGGGCTCCTGGACCTGGAAGTTCAACGTCATGAGCCTTTTCCCTGTTGGGAGGGTTGGTACAAGTAAGGCTCTCAGGGTTGAGGGCCACACCCAGGGCCCAGGGCCCACCACAGCACTTGCATGCAAGCCCAACTGCCCCATCACCACTGCTCTCCTGAAGGGGCGCCCACAGCCAGGCCCGGCCACCTCCTGCTGGCACTGCCCTCAGCCAGCTGGGTGTGCTTGCAGCCTGCCTGAGGTGGGTCCTATGCTTGCCCTGTAATGGGTGGTCATGTACCCCACCACCTCCACACACGTGGGTCTTGATGCCCACACTCCTCCCACAGACCTGCCTACTCTCTTGGCCATTATGCCACTGGAGGACAGGCACCTTCCCAGCCCTGGGGTCGGGGGATGTCTGGGCACCAGCAAAACTGGGCTGAGGAGACCCTGCATGGGACCCGAGGCTCAGGTGCCCCACAGACACGTGAGTCTCCCTCAGCCAAGAGAAGCGTACCCCTAAATGGCTCCCCTTCCCTCCTAGACCTGAAATGGGGCCAGCCCAGTTCCCTGCGGAGCCCATCTCCCCCACAAGACGAGCCAGGAGTGGAGGGTGAGGGGTCAGGACAGCCTGCACAGCGTCCAGCAGGGTCTCCCCGGAGGTGCCTTGGAATGGGATGACACAAGCGTCCAATGTGGGAGTTGTGGGGGACAGGTGTGCAGACAACTCTCCTGCCATCGAGTGGATGCCGACTCACAGCCGGGTAGACCATCCCCGTGGGGTTCTGAGGTGCACTCTCGCTGGGCGTGTGGGCGTGGGAAGGAGCAAGCAGCCCGAGTGCTAACTGCTGTGCCACCAGGGCGCCTGGTGCACTCACCAGATGCAGGGAGATGTCTCTGAAGACCTGCTGCCATGCACGCTCAGGAGGTGCCAGGCTCAGGTGCCCAGGGGAACGGGCCCTGCCGGAGGCCTGGCGGCCCCCTGAAAGGTCCAGAGGCCCTCACCCACTGTCTGGCCAGGCTCAGGGCAGAGCCACAGGAGGGGACCCCTGGTGGGCACCCTGAGGCGGTGACACATGTATCCTGAGGGTCCCCCCTTGAGCGCGGGGATCCTGCAGAGGTGAGGCTCTAGGGAAACCTCCCAAGGTGCAAAACTCCCCAGGGTGGGCTGAGGGTGCTCCCCGGGCCCTTTGCCACTGCCGTCTCCTCTGACAACCACAGGTCTGGGGCTGCCCCACGCCGGCAACACCACCTCCCAAGGGTACATGGTCACTTCATGTCTGTGGCACCTGGTAGTCGTTCCCACACTGGGTCAAAACGTGTCTCCTGCTGTCGGACACTCGCAGGCAGCAGTACATCATTAACGTCACTTTACGTCACTGGGGGCCCCTAAAATGTGTGTGACTCCGAGGTCTGGAGCCCCCCCTCCCTTTGCAGTATCTCCTAGTCCAAAGGTTCAAACCACCCCCTCCCAAAAAAAGGAATTGAGGCCATAAGTTAGAGGGAAATTTTCAGAAAGCGGAAGAATCGGAATGAGGTGTGAAAAGACATCAAGACCTGCCTATGCCACCCCTGCGCACCTGCAAGACACACAGGGAGGGGCCTGACTGCAGATGGGCTGCAGGGAGCGAGCCGTGGCTTCTGGCTGGGCCCCAGGAAGGTGGGTGATATGGCTGAGATGTGGGAGAGGGGTCTGGATAGAAGCTGCCCACTACCATGAGGTCACCTTAAGTCACCTGAGTGGCAGCTTCTCACAGGGCAAGGAAGGACAGCCATGGACGAGAGGATGGCGCAGTCAGGGCAAGAGAGAGTGGGTGAGCGCCTGGGGCAGGGTCCTCTCAGGCCCTCAAAAGGGTCCAGTCCAGTCGATGCCCAGACGGACGCCCAGCCACCTTTCTCGCAGGCCACCTGTTGTGGCAGCATTCTGTCTGCATCCCCCACCCCCACACACATGGGCAGCCTGAACTCAGTTCCCAGGTGACAAAGACCAGGCGCTGTCTGATGCCCTGTAGACGGCACGCAGGCCCACGTGGCAAGGCCTAAGAGGAAGAAACCACCCCGTCAAAGGCCTGCATGCTGGGCACCCCAGTGGGAGACTGGACACAGCGGGTGAGCTGTTACCAAGCAAGGCCGAGTGCTGGAAGCAGCCCGAGCCCTGGGTGGAGGGCAGGGCTGGCGCAGGCAGGGTGGGACATGGGCTGCCCTGGCGTCACCCCACTGCTGACCGACAGTCCAACTAGTAGTGTGGACCTGCTGGGGAGCCTTCAGGTCCCCTAAAGAGGACATCGGGAAGCCCCCCAGGGCAGCTCTACTCCGTCCCACGACAATCCCTTCAGTGGCCCCCACCAGGGACAGGGAGGAAGGGATGCTGAGAGGAGGGAGGGAGGGGATAGGTAGGCAGATCGAAGGTTGGAGAGCTGGATGGATGCCAGGAGGGAGAGATGAAAGGGCAGAGGGAGGGACGGCTGCCACCAGGTCAACTCCGCCCCATGGCAACTCGAGCAGAGCACAGAGTGTCACCAGCCCTGCTTCGTCCTCGCGATCTCTAACACACGTGTCCACCCACCCACCTCTCCAAGGCTCCCCTTGCCCTCGCTGACCCTGCACACCACCAAGCCGGGAGCCCTCCCCAGTGATGGACTCCTCTTGATGTGTCCAAAGCAAGCAGTTGGACCACGTCCCCTGGTGACCACAAGGTTTCCATTGGCTGATTTTTCAGAAGTGGGTCACCAGGCCTTTCTTCCTGGTCTGTCTCCATTGGGAAGGCGGCTGAAGCCTGTCCACGGTGGGTCACCCAAAGGTGTGTGTGTAGCACCCAAGGCTGAGCATCCAGCGCTCCTGCCCACCTCCCCCCCCTCCCCCCTACAAATACAGGCCACCACTCAGCAAGGCCCTCTGCAGAAGGGTGGGGGAGGACTCCAGTCAGCGGGCACAGGAGCAGGAAAGGGCTCAGCACACACACACACACACACACACACACACACACACACACATCTGGGAAGGTGTATGTGTGTGTGTGTAAGGCTGGCTGATACCATCTGCCTGACACTGACACCCCAGTCAGCAATCAAGAGAAATAGGGAGACATGCCCAGCTGACTCAGCCCATGGGGCGGGGCCTCAGCCTACAGGGCGGGGCCTCAGCCTACAGGGCGGGGCCTCCATCCATGGGGCGGGGCCTCCATCCATGGGGCGTGGCCTCAGCCAGCCAGGCCACTTCTAAGTGTTTTGTCTTTGTCAAAAGACACTTCAAAAAGTTGGTAGAAAATGGGATTGGGATGAGGAATTTTCCTACCATCTGGAAGCACCCTCAGATATATCCAGGTTAAGAAACTCTTCACTGCGGGCGGAAGGGGTGCAAGATGACCAGAGGCAGCCCCCCAGCTCCAAGGAAGCTGAGACTCTTATCCATGGGTCTCCTCTGCCTCCCCTCGCCCCCAGGGCCCTCTCCAGAACTTGGGGCTTCCGGGAAGAACCCAAGGGCCCTCACCATTCCAGCCCCTCTCTCTCCTCCCTCACATTCCAGGCGGAGTGCCGCCTCCCCCTGGGCACGTCCACCAGCTCCCCCTCCCCTGCCACTGCAGCCTGGCCTGGCCCCACGCCAGCCCCTTCCTCCGCCACCTGTCTGCAGGAAGCCTGCCTACCCCGGGTGTCCAGTTACCAAGGCCCATCCCCCACTCCCACCCCCCCACCCCAGCACATTGCCACCCCCCCCATTCCCTGAGGAGTTGAACTTCCCCAAAGATGCCGTGTCCAAGGGGTCCACTGACCCCTGGTGTCCCACAGCCCCATGCCATTGACCTCCTGGTGGTCCTTCTGAACCTGCTCCCACCAGCAGCCCACCAAGGCCTCGCCGACACTGGTGACTGTCCATCAGCGCACCCCACCCCACCCCCAGCACAGCCCCTGCTGCTCGGTCTGGATCCAGCCCAAGATGGACCTGAGGGCCACCTGGTGCCTGAGAGGAGCTGGGTCAGGGGGGGCAAGTGAGCAGAGCAGGGGGCTGGACACAGG